GATCTACAAGTACTGATAGGAAACATCATGAAAACATGTTAAGTGAAAAAGCCAATATGCATAGGTATTGGATTAATATTACCTTATTTGTTTCAAATGATACAAATACATACAAATATAGATACCCTATATTAAGATTTAAAAGTGAGGTTTGAAGGGCCAGCACTGTGGCATAGCAGGGGAAGCCACCGCCTGTGATACTGACATCTCATATGGAAGCTGGTAGAGTCCTGGCAGCTCCATTTCTGATCTGGTTCCCTACTAATGTATCTGGGAAAGCTGCAGAAGATGACTCAAGTACTTGGGCCCATGCATCCACTTGGAAGACCCAGAAGAAGCTCCTGGATTCGGATTTGCCCAGCTTCTGGCCTTTGTAGCCATTTTGGGAGTGAACCAGCAGATGGAAGATCTCTCTCTCTCTCTCTCTCTTCCTGTGTAATTCTACCATTCAAATAAATAAATAAATAAATCTTTTTTTAAAAAATTAGATTTGAGAGAGAGAGTGTGATATTTTTACTTTTTAGTTTGAAGCTATCATATTTTGTGAAATGTTTGCTTTGTTCATATTAAGTATTGACATTTTGGGAACTTGGAATGATTAAAGGGAGAAGTGGAAAACAGTGAAGTAACATTTTGTGAGCATTTATATCTCAGTATTTCACAATTTTCTGTACGTGTGTCTCTACTCTCTACTTTACAATTTTTCAACAGTACTTTGAGGTAAATATCAATTTACTCACTTCATAAATTAGTAAAGTAAGCTCAGAGATTTTATTTTTTCACAGATATTGCACAGTTAATGTTTATGAGAGTAAACATTGAACAAGAGTAATAACAACAATGACAATAACAAACACTAACTTATGGCACCAAGTTAGTTCAAATATATGTGTTTGTAATTCATATAATGATCAAACTTCCATTTATAATTGGTGAAACTGGCTACAAAGAGGTTGCACAATTTATAAAAGTAACAGGGCTTCAATCTGAGCATAGTTCAGTCTACTTCCAGACATTGATCATTTCCCTTGCTTTGTATCATTTCTAATATCCATATGCCTGAAAGGAGACACAGGAAACCAGGAAATGGATTAGAAGACCTTGAAATAGTTCATGTAAGAGGTTATTAGAAAAATAACAGAAAATTGGATAGAAGGTTTAGGAGGTTAAAATTGATAAGATATGGTGAGCATTATGAACCGAACATTTTAGTCCAAGTAGCAGGAAAAAACAAGCATGACCATGAAATCTCTAGGTGATGAGTGATTGTGATTGCCAAAATATAAGTTATAAAGAAGAATAGTTTGTAAAATGACCAAGTAATTTTTGTATATATCCACTTTCTGATATATGTGCTGCAGCCAGGTAGGAAGACACTTAAGCAATGCAATGCTTGGATTTAATGCTTCTTTCTATTATTGTTACCACCCAGATCATCTCAAAATATATTTAATTCCTCTTAATTCTCTAATTTCTCTATATCAACAAGCACTAGAATAAAAAGTAAATAAAATCACCATTTCTCTTTTATCTATTTTCCATTTCTATTTGTATCACATTCCTTAGTTATGGAGATCCATATTTCTTGCCTGTAATATTTCAATATCATCTGAATTCAAATATTATAACAAATTTCTCTTCCCTTTATCAATTAAACTCTTTCTAGAATAAATTTCCTAAAGGAACTTTAAATTCTTTCTAGAAGAACGTTAAACTCTTTCTAGAATAAAGTTCCTAAAGGACAGTATATGTCTTGAGAAAACAAACAAACAAAAAAGAATAGTAAAAAAACACTAAATGCCTCTAATACCCACAAAATAAATTCAAACTCAAAGCTTATCATAACCCGAAACCAAATTTTCTTTCCAATTTTCTTTTATATTATTTTATCTCAAAATCATCCAACTCAGATTCCTGCTTAATCTTTTGAAAATTCACTCCAAACTTTTATACCTTTTTGTTTTGAATAATGCATTCATTCATTTCTTTAGTCAGCAACCATTTTAAAGCAACTATTATGATGGCAGAGACAGAAAATCATACAGATATTCAAGCCATAAAGCAAGCAAAGCTTTACAGAAGTTAGTTTTTGAGAAATAAGTCTCTAAGAGATATGAAAATTGATCTGTTTGATTTACTCAATAGGAGATTGCTACAAGATACCATGGAGAATCATGTTAGGAGAGGGCACAAGGTCATGAGTATGATTTTACACATGTTGAGATAAAATTGCTTTTGATATATAAAAGAGGAAATCCAAATTGGAATTTGGATCTAGAAATTTAGTTCTCCATGCTGAAATATAAATTTGTAGCTCATGTGAATGTAGTTTGTAAAGAAATCCATGGACATATTTATAAATGAGATTCACTAATGAAAAACATACAGATTCATTAAGGAGACCCTACAAAGGAAATGGAACTCCAGATTTTAATAAAAGAGGATAAGTTAGATAAGCCTAGAAAAGACTCGGGTTTGTAGCAGTTGAAGTAGGAGAGAAACAGGGTACATGATTTTTAATGAAACTGAGAAAATAAATAAAATTTCAATGATTCCAGGAGAGAGACTTACAGTACTCAATGCTGAAGGTTAAGTAAAATAAGTACAAACATTTTCAATAGAATTTAGGCACTTCAAAAACAATGATGATTTGACTGAGAACTGTTTTTAGTAGGATAATGAGACAGATGCCAAAATGAGTGGCATGATTAAATGGAGTCACCAAGAATGGGCACAAGATATTTGGCTAAAAGAAAAGAGAGACAGCATCATAATTTAATAGGAGTACAGGTTGAAGGTTTTAAGGGATGCTTACAATTTGAAATGCATAACTATATTTGGAGTGAGATGTTAAATAATGGATAGGAAAGAGAGAATAACTGCAATATAAGGTTTTTGTACTATGTTTGGCAATAATTCTAGCAAATGCACAATGAAATTTAGTTATATAATGATTATTATTGTTCAAGAACCAGTAAACCAAAATCATTGTTTAAAACACTATATCTTTCAATAAAACTTTCAAACAGACTATTAATGTGGGATGATTGTAAAGTAGTATCTTTAAGTGGGATCTTTCCTCACCTTAGACTTTATTTCATTGGATTCCTTTCAAAGTATTAAAGCTTTAAAAGTTTAATACTTATATCAACTTTTATAAATAACCGTGTATGTGGAATTTTTTTAGAAAGATGAATGCAATATGAAATAAAACATTTGATATCTCAATTTCAAGCAACATTTTAATACACTTTGTTCTAATACACACTTGAAACTTGTTTCAGGCCAGCCTTGTAACACAGAGGCTTAAACCGCTGCCTTCACTCCTGACATCCCATATGAGCTCTGGTTCGAGTCCTGGCTGCTCCATTTCTCATCCAGATTACTGTTAATTCACCTGAGAAAGCAGCAGATGATGACACATGTGCATGGACCTTTATATAGCATGTGGGAGACCCAGATGAATTCCAGTCTTCTAACTTCTGCCTGGTCCAGCTCCCACTATTGTGGCAATCTGGGGAGTAAACCAGTGGGAGGAAGATTCTCTCTCTCTCTCTCTCTCTCTCTCTCTCTCTCGTCTCTCATTCTCTCTATAACTCTACCTTTCAAATAAGCAAACCGTTTTAAAAGAATTTGATTACCATTATTTATTTACATATCCGTCATTTCCAAAGACAAATATTACTGCCCATAGAAATACAATGCACACCAAAGCACTAGAAATTATTCTATTCTAAGGAAATTTAAAAAGTAAACTGGGAGACGCCTGGCTTTAGGAGGGCATCTGGGTCATGTGGCTGCCCTTGAGTGTATGATAAAAAGCTCACGAGTGCGATCAATGTCATGGACATACAGTTTCTTCATTCTGAGGTTCTGTTTGCTGTTGCTCAGAACCACTGGCTTCACATCTATGACAACCAGGGCGTTGAGCTCCATTGCTGTGTCCAAGTAATGCAGCTTGAGTTCCCGCCCTTCCACTTCCTCCTGGCCACAGCTTCAGAGATGGGGTTTCTGACCTACCTGGATGTGTTGGTGGGGAAGACTGTGGCTGCTTTGAATGCTCAGGCTGGATGGCTTGGTGTCATGACTCAGGACACATTCAATACCATCATCCGTCTCAGATATAGTAATAGTTCCACGTCTTTATAGAGTTAAGCCACAAAGGAGCTACTGTTGAAGATTCTCTGTCACTGTGGTGGTATCCAGGCCATGGCAATAGTTTCTACAGGCATATACTTTGCCACTTCCAGTCTATGCTACCAGCTGGAGATCACTGACTTGTGAGGGACATTCCACCTCTGAGTGATCTAACCCTGCACCCAGGGAGCCGGGCACCTGACCCACTGCCAGCATAGACCGCTGGTTGGTTGCAGGAATGGGCAACATTGTCTATACATATTTGGTCAGGGCCTGCAGCGCCATCCTGCTTTCCATAGGGCAGCCTTACTTCACCCACCAGCTCTCAGGACATATCTATGGCCTTCAGTTCTGTCCCTTTGGGAGTTAGGGCGTCACTAGCATGCCGCTCCCTAGAGCTGCTGAGCCCAACTTTGATGGTCTGGAGAGTAACCCGTATAGGAGCTGGAAGCAGCACTGGGAGGTGGGGTAAAGGCCTTGCTGGAGAATGCACCTGTAGAGCTCATTTATCAGGATCCATGACCCCTAGCAGAGGTTGATATCATCTATTTGAAGCAGGAAAAGGAGCAGTGGAGACAGGCTGAGCTATGACCAAAAGACCAAGGCTCTCTTCCAGTCAAAGGCAAAGCAGAAGGGCCACACTCCACAGCAACCTTGGTAAAGAGGAAGCAGAAAGTCATATACAAGAAGCATAGGGACAAGGTTCAGCAGAAACTTCAGTAGCAGCAGAAGCAGAAAGAGCAGAAGCAAGAGAAAGCCAAGCCAATTGGGCCCGGCTGTCTGCCCTGGACAGATTTGTGCACTGACCCAGGCTCCAGTATGGTTGGGAACCACAATCTCTCACCAAGATCACTTGAAGGGAAATGACTGTTCTTTGCAATGAAGAAGGGACAATGTATGCCCTTCTTCTACTGACTCCTGGGGTGGTTATTATTAAAAAGGAAAGTAATTTGGGGACTGAGGGAGAAAAGGAACTAGAGGTAGGTATTGTTGTGCAGTGGGTTAAGCCACCTCTTATGATGTTGGCATCCCATATCAGAGTGCTTGTTCAAATCCTCGCTACTCCACTTTCCAATCCAGCTCCCTGCAAATGCCCCTGGGAAGGCAGCAGAGGAAGGATCCAGGTGCTAGAGCCCTTGTCACCTAAGTGAAAACAGGATGGAGGTCTTGGATCCTAGCTTCAGCCTCTCTCTCTAAAACCTGCTTGTTGTGGGCATTTGGGAGTGAACCAGTGATTGGAAGATAGATTATCTCTCTCTCTACCCCCCCCATTCCTTGTGCATATATATTTTTCTGATAATGTGCCTGTAAAAGCAACAGATGATGGTCCAAGTACTTGGGTCATTGTCACCCATGTTGGAAACCTAGATAGAGTTCCAGGCTCCTGGCTTTGTCCTGGCACAGCCCCAGTTGTTGCGGGCATTTGGGGAGTGAATCATGGATGGAAGATTCTCTCTCTCTCTCTCTCTCCTTCTCTCTCTCCCTCTGTCCTTCCTTCTCTCTCTGTAACTCTTCTTTTCAAGTAAATAAATAAAATCTTTTAAAAATTGTTTTAATTTGTGCAGTGTATTAGAGTAGATTGCTTCAGGTCTGCCTTCCTCCTTACAGTTTGTTCACCATAACCTATGAGGCATCTGCCTTCTGATGGCACAATTTTCAATGATGGTAAGTGGAAGTGACCTCAGAGAAGAAAGAATAGTGCAATAAGCATATTTTTCGTTCATAATCAAAGTATATTTAAATAAAAGTTGCCAGAGAAGGTTTAGGGTAAATTGTACAGGACAGAAAAGTAAATTGACTAAAGGCAAATATTTGTTTTTGCCAGGGGCCAACACTACTCTTGGAAATAATATGATTTGGCAATATTATGTTTTCTCCATTGTCTTTATATTACATGCATTTTTTTGACAGCCAGAGTGGACAGTGAGAGAGAGAGACAGAGAGAAAGGTCTTCCTTTGCCGTTGGTTCACCCTCCAATGGCCACTGCAGCCAGCGCGCTGCGGCTGGCGCACCGCGCTGATCTGATGGCAGGAGCCAGGTACTTATCCTGGTCTCCCATGGGGTGCAGGGCCCAAGTACTTGGGCCATCCTCCGCTGCACTCCCTGGTGACAGCAGAGAACTGGCCTGGAAGAGGGGCAACCAGGACAGAATCTGGCGCTCCAACCGGGACTAGAACCCGGGGTGCTGGTGCCGCAGGTGGAGGATTAGCCAAGTGAGCCATGGCACTGGCCGTTGAACTCTTTACTTAGTATAGAGTTGATTTTCTGTGTGTAAAGTTAATCAAAAATGAATCTTAGTGGAGAATGAGACTGGGAATGGGAGGGGGAGAAGAAAGCGTTGGGAGAGTGGTTCAGAGGGTGGATATGGTGGAAAGAATCACTATATTTCTAAAGTTGTACTTATAAAATGCATGAAGTCTGTATTCCTTAAATATTTCTTTGGGGGGAAAATAAAATAAATAAATAAATGTAAATGTTACTTCCTAATTTTTTCCACAAATAACTACACAATCTGCTGAATTTCTCATTATTTTAAACTCTATTCAGTTTGTGTCTACAACCTGTGCACTTAAGTAAAATCTACACAGTCACTTTTACTTAATCATCTTAAATAATACACTGCTTAAAAATGTGATGGTGAGGGGGCCAGAGCTGTGGTGTACTAGGTTAATCCTCTGCCTGTGGTGCGGGCATCCCATATGGGCACCGGGTTCTAGTCCCAGTTGCTCCTCTTCTAGTCCAGCTCTCTACTGTGGTCCGGGAAAGCAATGGAGCATGGCCCAAGTACTTGTGCTCCTGCACCTGAATGGGAGACCAGGAGGAAGCACCTGGCTCTTGGCTTCAGACCAGCATAGCTCCAGCAGTTGCAGCAATTTGGGGGGTGAACCATCAGATGGAAGAACTTTCTCTCTATCTCTCTGTCTTTCACTGTCTGTAACTCTATCTGTCAAATAAATAAATAAGAAAAATGTGATGGTGAATTGACTTAATGTTTTACTTTGGAATCTTGAACACTGCTATTCTTTTGAATTAATCTAGAATTTCATGAACTTACTCAGTTGAAATTTAGCCAAAACTTAGTTGTGAAAAAGGAACTACAATAGTCGATGTTCTCCATAGATACAAAACGAATAAGAGTGAGTGAGTGAGAGAGAGAGAGAGAGAGACAGACAGACAGACAATAAAGTATTCACTCATATAATAATGAAGGCTAAGAAGTCTCAAGATATACAGTTGACAAATTAGAGACCCAGATGAGCCAATACTACAGTTGCAGTCCAACTCAAAGACATGTTATCTAGGACAATACATGGTATAAGATTAGTCTGAAAGAGGGCAGGCTCAAAATCCAAGAAAAATCAACAGCTCGCTTCAAGTCAAAAATAAGAGAAGACTGATTATTCTGGTTTAGTTGTCAGACAGGAGTTCTCCTTTGCTCTCAGAAGTGTGAGACTTTTTGTTTTATTCAGACTTTCAGCAGATTAGATGAAATCCATTACATTAGGGAGAGATTACTTGACCCAACCTGCCAATTGAAATACTAATCTCATGCAAATATCTTCATAGATATATCCATAACAATTATTGACACAATATCTGCACACCTTGTGGCCCAATCAATTTGACACATAAAATAGACCATCACAGCAACTCCCAAAAAGGATCACTGGGATATTAAAAATGGTGATTTTATTATTTTATATTTTTCTGCACAGCATGGTCCAATTTCAAATCTTTGTTAAAGGACTATTTGTTATTCTAATATATCACTGTGAATTAGTGGTTCTATGGAAGCTAAGACTGTCCACAGAAAATAGTGTAATTATTCTATTGTGACAAAATAGTTTTGGTTAGGAAGATAATTGGTTAAAGAGAGCCATTGCATAATTATATAATTTTAATATCTAGTAAATAAAGAAAATTATTTGTTTGAATTTTATTGAATAAAAAATAGGAGCAATTTAAGATCAGGTAATAGTGGTTGTGATTAACACTAGAAATGATTATAATACACATAGCAGCTGCCGTCAAGAATTTTTTGCAGCAGAAATTTTATAAACAGTTGATCACTTTGAACTACAGTATTTAGAGGAAGAAAAAAGATGAGGTTCTTGTTGAAGTAGGGACAATAAAAGAAAATACATTCAGGCATTCTCAGCAGTTTTAACCAACTATATAGATGTCAGATATTGGTGTTACTGTTGGTAGGGCTTGTTGTTCAAAATTACTGCTATATCAAATGATCTTTATGAGTTGTGTTTAAACACATCCTATCTGAGATTTGTTAGTTTTGCGAACTGAGATCACAGAATGGCTGTAACACTATCACTTAGAGAAAGAAAACAGCTCAATCCCACTTTGAATCCTAGTTAAAGTCAACCAAATGTCCTTGCAGGTGGACACAAGTCACAGCTGATTGATGAAGGCACATTCTAGTGGTAAATTCCCCTTGAAGAAAAACAACTCTGGACTCCTCTGATCTGGTTAAGGAGTCTTAACATCATCTTTCTGAGGTAGATAGCAAAACAGAAAAAAAAAAGTCCTCATTATAATGCTAAACCTATATCCTCCCAACTGAAAATGAAACACGTGTAACATACATGGCATTATTGAGCAAACGTGCCCACCCCATTTTCAATATGCATAACCATTCCCAGAACTTCACCCAGACTTAATGAACATGTATGATTCTCCTAAAAGCAAGCTCATGAAAACTCAGTAATCTTCCTTTACCTGGTTTTTGGTTTTGAGATGACCTTGCCCCTGGCTTGGTTAACATCGAATTCTCTTCTGCTCATTGTTCAAATCATTGTCTGTGTTTTATATTGGCCTACATAGCAGATACAAATATTCAGCTTTCTGTCCTTTTATAGCTACACTTTGTTTCAGAGGCCCCAAAATATATCTGGGGAGCCACTGAGGAATGAAAGTCCATTCACGACCGACCTCAACTGAATATTTTTAAACTGGTCTAAACCACAGTACCACAGTATCCTGGAACCTTGCTTCCTCTGCTTATCAGCAACAATCAGCAGACTTTTGAACATATAAATTTTCCATTTGCATCCAAAACTGTACATTTGCAACCACCAAATATGATCTATGCCTACTTCTCACAATTGCTACTTTTGCCTTTTAGAATTCTGCCCTTCTTTTATTTATTTATTTATTTATTTGACAGGCAGAGTGGACAGTGAGAGAGAGAGACAGAGAGAAAGGTCTTCCTTTTTACCGTTGGTTCACCCTCCAATGGCTGCAGCGTGCTGCAGCCAGCGCATCGCACTGATCGGAAGCCAGGAGCCAGGTGCTTCTCCTGATCTTCCTTGCGGGTTCAGGACCCAAGCACTTGGGTCTTCCTCCACTGCACTCCCGGGCCACAGCAGAGAGCTGGACAGGAAGAGGAGCAACCGGGACAGAATCCGGCGCCCCAACCGGGACTAGAACCCTGTGTGCCAGCGCCGCAGGTGGAGGATTAGCCTATTGAGCCGCGGTGCCAGCCAGAATTCTGCCTTTCTCCCCTTCCTTCAGAACACAGTCCAGTTGCTACTAGACCCTCTGTCTCCCGGTATTCAGATTCCCTAAAGGCTGTGAATAAATGCCTTTTATTCAATTCTGATTTTACCCTCACTTCAGATTGTTGACAAGTTTATTCTATAAGCTAAAGTACTGTGATTCAGTAGAAAAAATTGGGGCTTTGGAAACAGACAAATCTGGTCTTGTGTCTCATCTGTATCGCTTGATGATTATTCAGTCTTTTAAAAATATTTATTTATTTATTTATTCAAAAGGCAAAGTGAGAGTGAGGAAGAGACACAGAGAGAGACATTTTCTGTCCACTGGTTCACTCACCAAATGGCCTCAAAGGCCAGGGTTGGACCTGATTAATGCCAGAAGCCAGGCCTTCCATCCTGGTCTCCCACTAGGCTGGCAGGGGCCCAAATGATTGGGTCATCATTGCCACCTCCCCAGACTCATTAG